TATATATATAATATATTTCTTTGTTCAAAGAAGAAAAAAGTTATGACAGAAATTATATATAGATGAGATCATGAGATAATTAACAATAACTTTTTCATAGAATTATAAAAAAATGTGATATATTGTTCAATATAATTATTACGTAATATTGTATTATACATTTGAATTTTTTCTAACTATATATCTCTTAAAAATTGATAATAAATTTGGCTGACGTAATTTTTCCCTCTAAGCAAGTCAACCACTTCTCCAATCAATCCAAGCCACTTATTAACAAGAAACTTTAAAGATAATATATTTTATTCCTTATGCTAGATCATAGCCTACAACCGGCAGTTATTCCGCTGATAAGGCCGCCAAAAATATCATAAAAAATTTGCTGCTAGAATTTCTACCGGTATTTGATGACTTTTTTATAGTGAAGGCTTAAAATAAAGGCAAGAGTTCTATCCATTGGAGAGAGAGATTATTAAGTCACAAAGGCTAACAAATTTAATATTATTTCATGAATATCATTAAAAAACTCATAAAGAAAAAGTCCTAGAGATCTCTTCCAAATAATTTGGGAGACTAAACAAGGTTCATTTTAGATAGGGGTGTCAATTTCGGGTCACGGGTCGGATTTAGGTCGAACTCGAAATTGACCCGGCACTATTCAAGTTAACCCTAACCCGACCCATTTTTGAAAATAGATCGGTTTTCCAGACCCGAACCCGACCCGCTTCGGGTCCGGGTCAACCCGACACGACCCGAATGATCTGTTTCCAACAAAAAAATTACTAGTTTTCAGGTAAAAAACATGTCAATCTCCTCTTTTTCGGGTAAAAAACGGGTCAAAATCAGGTTTTCGGGTCAATTTCGGGTCAAAGGGTTAACCCGAACCCGACCCAATTTTTGAAATGGGTCAAAATGTTGAACCCAAACCCGACCCATTTCAGGTTCAGGTTAACCCTAACCTGAAATTTTTGGGTTGGGTTTGAGTCGGGTTTTCGGGTCGTATCAAATATTGGAATTTTTATTGCGTCCTCCCACCTGACGTAGAGATACGTCCTCCTACCGCCAAAAAACTCGGTTTTGCTCGGTATTGCTACGTATTATTTGAAAATAACGAGGAATATCATCATGTGAAGACCAATACCGAGTTATACCGAGCAATACCGAGCAATACAAAAAAATACCGAGTTTTTTCTAGGAAAAACTAGATATTTTTTTGTATTGCTCGGTATAACTCAGTATTGGTCTTCACATGATGATATTCCTCGCTATTGTTTGGTATTGCTCGGTATTTGCTTGGTATTTCTCATTTTTTAGCGCGATTTTAGCTCTGGGAGGACGTATCTCTACGTTAGGTGGGAGGACGCAATAAAAATTCCAAATATTGACACCCCTAATTTTAGATATGAAGCCTAATAACACTCTTTATTAGGGATTGTCATTTTGCCTTACGTAAATAGTTTTAGGTTAATATATAGAAATGCCATGGAAGACTTTGTTATGAAGTAAGAACCGCTTAAGAATCACCCTTATATAAAGAGGTTAACAACATATAATTAAGGGTTGTTTATAATATTCATGAGCTTGATATCAAGGGAGAAGGGCCTAAGATAATTGAGCTAAAACATTAAGAAGTGGCATCATTAGAATGAAATAAGGCATATTCATCTCAATATTATGTAAGACAAACTTCGAAAGAACAAAATCTTATGTCATAATGTGTACAATGGGTACAAATTTTTTTGTCATTTATAGGAGGAATTAATAGGTCTTCGCAATGTAGAAATATAATATGACTGAGATTGCCAATGGTCAGAGGCTTGGATATACTAAAAAGAATCTTGTAGGATCTTTGAGAGGAAGAGAAGCTCAGTTTTCAGCTTATTGAAGAGAGGGAGAAAGAGATGAAAAGAAAGTGAACATAAATTCTATTGAAATGGCATAAACCTATTACAACCTATTGCACTTATTTAAAGGCAAAAAAGGCTATAGCAAAGGCAACACAAACCAAAGAAACTACAAGAAAGTACAAAGAAGCAACCTAAAATATGGACTAATATCTAACAATCTTCCACTTAGTCAAAATTTTACAAAACATCTAAATCAATCTAACCGTCTCACAAGTCTGCTGCTACTGCTAAGCTGGCTTTTGAATTGAGTCCAAATCCTTGCATTTTTATCAAATTAGGACAATATTTCTTAAAGTGTCATTTCTTGTGACAAAAAAAACACTTCTTGTTGGACTTATTCCTATTGAATTCTAATCTTCCTCTAGCAATCAAAATGCTGCCACTATTATCTTCTTTTTGTTCAGATTTTCTTTGAACGTCTTTTGACATTAAGACAAACTTTACCTCCGTCATTGTCAATGTTTGCTTCCCATACAACATAGTGTCCACTATGTTTTCATGTCTTCGGCAGAGAGCTGAGGAGTATGATCCCTTGATCTTCTTCGTCTATTGTCACATCAACATTTTTGAGGTCAAGAATCAATTTATTAAAATCATCCAAATGCTTTCTAAGTTCCTTGGTTTCTTCCATTTGAAGTGTATATAATTGTTTCTTCAACATTAGTCGATTAGTAAGCGATCTTTTTCATATAAATTGATTCAAACTTCCTTTATACCTCTAATGTCGTACCTTCTTCAGCAACCTCCCTCAACACTTTGTCACCAAGAGAGAGAAGGATGATATTGTGCGTCTTCAGTTGCATTTCCCTAGCCCTGGCCCTGTCAGTGACTGCAGAAAGATTTTCTTCAAAAATTGCATCGGCAAGGGTTTGATGAACCAATAGAGCCTTCATCTTGAAAAGATCAGTCATAGGCTGAAATCGTTCTCCCCCTTGAACTTGTCGATCTCGAACCTTTGCATCGATATGATCAAGAGACAAAAAAACTTAATATGTGCCACTATGACACAAATCTGCTCCTATGGTGAACAAGATTTCACCGAATAATAAACAAGAAATACTTCTTACTGATCTTGTCTGACTTGAGCAACACAAGCATAAAGGCAGAATTGCGCCTGGCCTAGCGCTACCTCAACCTCTGCTCCGGACGTCGTTCCTACGCAAGTGAAAATCCCTCGGTGGCTCTCCTCACTCTTAGGCTTTTTAAGGCTTCTTTCGTGCAGACTAGTGACATAAAATCTGGACTAATATCTAACAAATCTTTTAATGATAATCTCAATAGTATATCAAGTACGAATCCAAGTACGAGTGATGAAAAAAGACATTTTCTAAGGGTGTGCGGAAACGGCGCTCTCCGAAGGCCAATCAAAACCCACCACAAACTTTTTTCCTGTGTACTGCAGCTGTGTATCGTTGTATACTAGGCGACATAGCGTGTTCTGATTCATCTATGGACGGTCCGGTGTCCGCACAAAATAATTTCTCGTAGGAGATGACCTTAATTGGGACAACAAGCCTTAAATTTATATAAGATACTAAGGAAGAATACATAGCATCACTTATTCCAAACCATACTTTTGCTGCAATGAAAGCTTAGTTTGGGACAGCTTTTTTACTGTTTTTAAAGCAGTTTTTTAGTTACAAAAATTTATTTAATTAGAAATTTTTGTAATAAAAAATGTTTTGAAAAGCATTAAGAAAGCCACCTCAAACGAAACTGAAGTGTCACTACTCAACTTATTTTTTATTACATCGAGAGGATGATGAAAACCATCCAAAAATGAAAAGAAAAATACAAATATGAAATAGTTGGCTGCTGAAAAAGTGAAAATAATCAAGCATAATTTGGATCTAATATATATGATAAAAATATCTGTAAAAAGAATTTCATGCCTGAAAGACTGCAATAAATGTGCTAAGCTGAGGTTCATTTAGAGGACGTCGCCGGAGCTGCTCCTCCAGTTGTTGGCCTGAGAGCAGATTCAGCCATCAGTAATGGGTAATGAGTGCAAGACAAAAGGTAATTAACAAGCATGTAAAGCAACATATGCAGGATCTGTAGCGGAAGATTTGAGCTCATAATATCTTATGTAAATGATGCGAGAAGACAAATCTATGTAGATTTATGGCAGGAAAATTTTGAGTTATAGATGAGTCTTATAAATCTTATTCACAAAATTTATCAATATTGCCTAGCTTTATTTTTCATCATTTTTACCTTCAAAAGATGCTATTACTAGTAGTCCTTTAGTCTAAATATTACTCAACTTATTGTTTGTCTTGCCAAACATCCATCTCATCATTATCATTTCAAGCACGATTATTTTTGTTATCAATAGGGGTGTCAATAAATGACCTTATTTGAACCTGACTCATAAAATATGAGTTTGAATTGACCAGTTAATTTTCGGGTTATGTTCAAGTTGGAAATCTTGACTAGATTAATCTTTAAGTTTAGGCTCGGATAGATCTGGAAATCCAAAATCAACCTTGTTATCATTTGGGCTTTGGTTAACAGGTTAAATGGGTCACATTTGTGTTAACAGGATTTCATTGATCTTAAAAACTATAGGATCTATATGATAAACAGGTCAAATTGGTCGGATTAAAGAAACACTTTTTACCTGTATCATAAAAGAGTTGGGTTTAGGCCAAATTTATTCAGGTCACATCAATTTAACATCAAACCTGATTTGCCAAAAAGAATTAACACCCCTGACTAGCAATTTCTTATTTATCATCCAACACCTAATTAAATCCATACAAATAGCTAATCTAACTATGGTTTTCTTAAATTTACAATTAAATCTCTATAATATGCTAGCACTTCTCTAGTCCAATCATTTAGACTAAAATTTAGAATATATATCCTCATCCATGCCATTAACTTTTTCTATAACACACTTACATCAAAATAAAATCTATATTCATTTCACTACAAGATAACTCCTGTTTTGCTACCCAAAATTAAGATTTCAGAATAGTAAGTTTTGGCTAAAAACGAATTACTAAAACATAGGAACTTATCTTTTAAGATGGAGGAATATGAAAGAAAATGAATGAATCTTTGGTAGGAATTGATTCAAATTATTTGATATTTTTTTCTAGGGTGGTCAGCAAGTAGGAATTTTCTTTATTTAACAAAATAAATAAACAATCAAAGCAAGGAATATGAAAAACTTATATTAAAAGGAGAGCAACATCAAATTAATTTGCTTACAGGTTAAAAAACACTTTGACTGCATCGTAGATTACCCACTGCGTTCCCGTTAAGGTTCCAATCATGACTATACGTAGAGGAAGACCACGAGTGAAGAGACCCGAGAGACCTAACTTGTTAACAGCCTGATAGCATCAGGGTTATTACCATTAAAATCATGAACGATTAAAAGTGATAACAAAACAAGATTAAGGCTTCGTTTGGAACGACTTTCTTTATGCTTCTTAAAGCAGCTTTTTAGTATAAAAATTTTAATTGTTGTACTAGAAAGTCGCATTATGAAGCAGTAAGAAAGCCGTCCCAAACGAAGCCTAAAACAACAAATAATGAACTCACATCACCAACTGTAGCCCCCTTGGAATTGTTGAGAAAGGAGACCAAATTGTCTGCTGGTTGTGAAACAACAGCGCATAAGATTCCAGCAACATAACCACCTGCAAAGCTCACTCCCAGTTGAAAAGATTTGCTGCACTGTTCCTTTGGTGTAGGAATGGCGTATTTGTACGTCATCTCAACTATGTTCTCGAAAGATGCAAATTTCATCATGGTATCTGCATGCGGATGTTAGGTAGTTTTATATCAATCATCTAGCAATGCCAATCATATGGCAATGTATTTAAATATATCAACAGAAATAGATTTTGAACCTTAGACATTGGTAAAGAAAAAAAAATCATGTGCTGTTTCATTTCTTCTTGAGAACACATTCCATATAATTCTAAAGGACAAATGGTCGTTAATCACTTCCTTTTGAGAAATTGCAGGTCTCTTTTGAGAGTACTAAGTTGTGATCATCATGAATATCAAAGTGATCTTAATGACGTGCATATCCAATTATACACGCTATTAGCCGTTGACAAGAAGCCTAAGATCACTCAATTTTGACATCACTAAAGCACTTAAATACTCATTAAATGTTTCATGATCAAGAGAATCAATATGGACCATCTAATGGAACACTCTAAAATTGCCTTGAATCTTCTCCATATTTATGAAGAAGTGAGAGAAGAGGAAGGAGAAAGAAGAGGAGCTCTGGGCCTTGAAGAATCCTGGAGCTCCATCCCAACACCACCGCCAACGAATCCATGCCACCAGGTCACTACTGCTAAACCTTTGCCCGACCATCGCCGTCAGGCCTCCGTGCGGCAGCCATTAACATAATGTAATGTAAAAAATTAGCCCATTTATAAAATCTCAAATAGTTAGAGCAGTTGAAGTAATTAAATGGGAGCAAATGAAACGAGCTATATCACAAATAAAAGGAGGCAAATGGAGGATAGTGCAAAAGCAAGATACGTAAGTAGAGCAAGAAACCTTTCACACAACTTGTTATCAAGAATTCACATAGTTGATAGAGTTGAAACAATCCATTGATGAACAAATAAATGCAGCTTGAAACAAATTAAAAAAATAAGAGCTGGAATGGATTTTTTTTTTCTTACAAGGAATTTGGCGACCCCACAGTGGAACTAATCCCTTGTACAACCTGTAGTTTTATAAAATAAAATAAAATTAAAAAAATATATAACCAAGAAGACAACAAAAGAGTAAGTGTTGCAAACACGCATTATACCCGAGAGCCCCTTCAGCTTTGACAATCTTAGGTAACCCATCACTTAAGCCTCTTGCAAAGCCTGGTTGAGTTTGAATGCGAACCTTCACAGCCTCCATCGGACAAAGAGCAATATCAGCAATAAATTCAGCAGAAGCAGATCCAGCAAGATAAATCAAAGTCTTATACTTCGCAGCATACTCAGGTCCAGCAATATCGGAGTAGTATTTCTTAAAGAACTCATAAAACCCATACTTAAATGCACCTTGAGCACTATAACCAAGCAGAGTTGGTGCCCAACCCTTGAAGAAACCTTTCACACCCTGCTCTTTAAGAAGGACACCGAAGCCTGATGAGATGCTTTTGTATTTTGCTGAATCAATCTGTAATAAGATCATAGGATTTAAACACCAGATTACATCAACACGTGTAACCATGATAGTGATTTCAAAATAAAATAACCAAAACAAAAAATCTTGCAGAATAAACAAAGTTTCAAAATCAACGGATATCATCATCATATTTAACCTTGTTCCAATATTTGGGGTCAATTCAATAAAAGATTCTTTGGCGATCACTTCTACTAAGTGTTTTATGAGTTGTTATTCCTAAGTTGTATAAATCTTCCTGCATTCCACTTCTAGTTATGTTAGCTTTAACTTATTACTTCTCCTTCCTATTGTTCACACATCTATTCTTGTTTACTGGCAAAATATACTCTCTATTATGTGCCAAACCAAACACAAATTATCTTTTATAACCTCATCATTCAATATGTTTATTGGTTCATTTCTTTGATACAAACACTTGGCACGGAATTCTTCCTAATTTTATCCTTTTTTTCCCAGTCAATCTAGTCTTTAATGACAAAGATCAACCATATTGACATAATTCAGTGCACAAATATGATTTATGCATAATCATGAAATTCCAGTTTAATTTCTTAGATTCCATTAGGCGATTAAATATCAATGTTAGCAGATGATTTAGGTTTCATTTGGGACGACTTCTTTATTGCTTCTTAAAACAGAGTTTTAATACAAAAATTAAAGAAGCAATAAAAAAGTCGTCCAGACGAAGCCTTAATCACAATCATGAAATATTATATAACTTTTTATGTAACATTTGATAAAGGATGAGTATAACGCTTAGCCATGTTTTGTAATCACCCATTTATTTAAAACCCCATCTTATCTTTTTGAAAACTTTTGATTGAAAAGAAGTATAACCTTATTTTCATGCAACAATGGAACCAAAAACTTTTTGTTAAGGGGGCACATAATTTTGTGTTGTGTAACAAAACAATTATAATGAACCAGTAGATCAGTAAACAAAAGTAAAATATAATGGAATAAAATTGTGACATGAATCCTACATTCTATTTCCATGAGATAACATTAAGAAATTCAGATTTAAAAAATTTGGCATTGGCATGCACTATGAAATTAACAGTTCTTGTCCACAATCACAACACCTTCTCTTTACATTTCCCTTAGAAGAAAGAGAAAATTTTTTAAGTGAGCATGGCTAAAAATTTATCGCGCATTTGCTCAACATTTTGCCAGGTATTATATGATAGGAAACACTTGAAGTTCTCAAGAATTTCCTAGCAATCTTTGAAAAACAACAAGAATTCTCCACAAGAATCCAAACAATACTAGTAAAACAGTAGATAATTTATATTATTTGATGAAATAGAAACAAAAAATACCAAGATACGATAGATTCTCTATTCAAGAGGAGGATCTATCTCTCACAAATCTCTAGACGCCGCTAGAACCCAAAAACCTATGAGATCTCAAATTTCAGCCAAATTCCAGATGTCCTAACCCTAGGAAAATAAACTATGTAATGTATACAATCCAAAAGGAAATCTCTAAACATCCCCTACAATCAAATTTTCCTCCTAACTCCCTCAAAAATCCTTCCTAAAAAGCTCAGTTGGATTGGGTGGTTTGATCGGCGCGTACATGAGAGGCGTCATGAGCCGGTCCTGTATAGACCAGCTGGACTGGTCCAATGGACTAGTCTAGCATTATCCTATATTAATGATACTAACAAAATAAATATCGAACAATACCTGATAAATATTGTCCAATCACACACAAAAAAAAACTTCACTAAACTAGCAATATTTCAACATAAATAGGCACCTCTACCAATACTATATGTGCTCATCAATATGCTGAAAAACATGACTTTCTATAGACCATGTGAATAAAAATTTTAATTTACCTGAGACTAATTTGGTTGCTTTAAATTAGAAATCTAGTTTTGAAAAATAATGAAGCTTATTAAATCTATCATTTGTTTGTATGTTGCTAGACAATTAATATTGGTTTCAAACTTCTCAAAACTTCCTCAAAAGTGATGATTAATTTTTTCATACACAAAGCATAAAAGATCACAGCACCGTTATCTATAAGCAAAGAAGAATTGGCATAACCTAATAAACAAGAAAGCTCAAAAGGGATAAAATTGGCAGCCAGGGGTAGAACAAGGAAGAGCTCAAGGTGGTTAATTGTTCACCATAATTTTTTTCTTAGAAGAATTAAGTATTTTAAATATTTTGCACACCTTCAATAAATACAATTGATCAAATTCTAACAAAAAAATTTATCCTTTTTTTTCTATTTGAGCATTTCACAATACTATTTGGCCGCACTTGAAAGAGAGCTGGTTCGGCCCTTGTGCAGCCACTAATACACAACAACATCAAGCCTTTGTCCCACTACGTGGGGTCGGCTACATGAATTCTTTTTCTCCATTGTGTCATGTTAAAATTCAAATTCTCACTTAAATCTAATAAAGAAATATCATTTCTAATATTTTCTGACCAAGTCATTTTAAGTCTATCTCTACCTTTCTTAACATAAGTCAAATATAATACCTCAACTTTCCTAACAGGGTCATCGGAAGGCCTCCATTTAATGTGACCAAACCATCTAAGGCGACTCTATCTAATCTTATATTCCACTAGAGCTACTTCAACCTTTTCACGTATATGCTCATTTTGTATCATATCTCTAAGGGTAAAGCCACTCATCCACCTAAGCATCCTCATCTCTTCAACACTTAACTTAATATTATGCTTCTCTTTTAATGGCCAACATTCAGCACCATAAATCATTGCAGGTCTCACCACCATCTTATAGAATTTTCCCTTAAGTTTGAGGGGGACTTTTCTATCGCACAACAAGTCCGATGCATTCCTCCACTTCAACCAATCAATTTGAATTCTGCTGATAATATCTCCATCTATTTCACCATCACTCTGAATAATAGATTCAAGATATCTAAAACATGTACTCTTATTAATGACTTGATAGCCCAAAGTTACAATCCCCTCACTAGGTCTATTGCTACTAAAATTACACTCCATATATTCAATTTTAGATCTGCGAAAACCTTTAAACTCTAAGGTTGACCTCCATAATTTAAGTTTACCTTCAACTCCCTCTCTAGTCTTATTAACAAAAGGAATATCATAAGCAAAAAGTATACACCAAGGTACAACCTCTTGCAAATGACTAAAACAAAAAAATATGAACTTAAGGTGGATCCTTGATGTAATCCAATCAAATAGGAAAATACTTGGTCAAACCATCTTGTCTTTGAACACAAGTAATAGCTCATGCATACATATTTTTAATGATTTGAATATAAGCGTTGATACATCATCAAAAAATTAGTTTGATCGGGCACGAATCTCAAGGCAAAAGCTAGTTGGAAACTTCAAAAATTAATTTTGGGAGCACCTGAACTCCGATTTCAGCGAGCTTATAGTCAAAGAGCTAGTTAAAAAAGTTCTTTCAACTTATATTGGCTATATTGATCTTTAAAATAAATTCTAAAATATTTTATTTATTTTTATAAAACTTTGATTATAATTTTTAAATGTAATTTAGTTTCATATAAAATTGAGAGCTATAAGAGGATGAATAAAATGAATAATTATAGTTTTATATTTAATAAAAAATTAATAATACTATAAAAAGTAATCATAATATTTAATCAATTATTTGGTCATCCAATTAACTTTGAAACTTTTAAATACCCTTAAGTCCCTTGGTTTGAACTCATTTGGGGTCTAATCAGATTGATTTCGATACCGTTGGATTTGTCTCCTTGAGATGTTCAATTTGACTATAAGTTTATTGAAATCAAAATTTGAATGATCCCAAATTTTATTTCAAATATTTCAAACTTGAATATACCTCGAGATTCATGCTCGATCAAGCAGATTTTCTATGACATATCAACATTAATATTAAGGGCCAAAATTATAGAGTCCTAAGATGTAAAAGATGTCTCTATTTTTTTTAGACATTTAGGTCAATTAAGTTAAATTCATACACACATCATATATTTAAGACTTGAGTTTAAAATATCTTGATTGATAACCAAAACCCCTAAGTTCCCTAAAATTTACTAATGTATATTATTTGCCAGACCCGGTCCGGCTCATCTGCTCTTTTTAGATCCTAACGTTTCCTAGACCGGTACTACTCCAATTGCACTGAGCTCCACATCGAAAGGACGCTATGGGTTCACCGATGAATCTCCCATACAATCCGGCCAAGTTCGGCCTCCTTTTCCCCGAACCCACCGACGTCCATTTGCAGGAATCAGTACCCAGGGCGAGCATTTCTTCATAACCAGTGGCCAAGGAAATCCATGAGACTTTCTCCATATTCACCAAATCCCTCAACCCACCATGAGATGTTTTTGAGTTCTTTCTCCACCTTCTCCCCCTCACTCCGCTCGCCGGTTGCAGTCTTCAAGTGCATTCGATCCTCTTTTAAAACTACTTCATCGTTTTCTTCAGCTAGGGCTTGCGCTGCAATGGCGTCGCTTTCGACTGTTTCTACTGACAAGGAAGCGGATCAAGAGCTAAAGTATAAGGAGCAAGCTGTTTCTCCGCAGCCGCAGGTAAGAAGATCGAAGTCATTTCTTAGTCGTATTGTTTTCTGGTAGATAAAGTTTTGATTGCTTTTAATACTGTCACTTCGATTTGAGAACTTCGCGATTTCGCGGCCAGTATACTTACAGATTGCGGATTGGGCTATCCGAAAGTACTCACTGATCTGACTTTTAATTCATGTATTGTTCTTGGTTTTTCTGATGTGTTGTCTGCGGCTTTAGGATCTCATACTTGGTTGAAAATACAATAGGTAGATTATGGAAAATTGAATGAGGATTTGAGTTTATGTAGTTGAGGAACTTAATTGTCCTATTTATTAAACGATGCATTATTTTTTGCGGCTTTAGTTTGTGGTTTTTCTTACACTGGGATTCACGATTTTGTTAAAAGAGACCAGGAATTTCTGGTTTGGAATCTCTCATTCCTGCTATTGTAATGCAAACGCGCAAGATAAATACCTTGGTACATTTTTTCCAAAGTCCTGATATCGAATTCTCCTTACATCAAATTTGTGCTTTGGTGCTCAAACTTTCAGGTAAGTGCCGCTAGCTTAGTTGATAAGACCTTAATTGTTATTTCCAAGTTCCTGGGATTGAATCCTGCCACATTAAATTTGTGCTTCGACACTTACAAAATAATATGATGGAATAAGCTTGAGAGAATTTATTATTAGTATTGGCATGACTTCATTGAAATTGAGTTAGTTGACATTGTCCAATCCTATTTAAAATGGGATCATTGGATGTAGAGATGGCATGGTTTTTAATGCTGTCATGCCTTTTATTATATGTCTACCACTTTCTTCCAGCAACAAAAACTCTTCTCGGCTCCCCATACCACTTATATTTGCACCCGTATGTATTCTTCAATCTTTGGTTCCTTATGTTCAAAGATTGGGGTATTATATGTTATACTTGTAAAATGCCCACTTGACCAGGCCAATGGCAACAGCATTAATAAATCATTTTCAATAGATTAAATAAACATAAAGTATGTCAAGGCATAACATAAGTACTTTTAAAAAATGTGAATCTGCAACATCATAATGAAGAAAAAATCATAAGAAACCTAACAAAAGTTGGATGTGAAGGAACTAACTATAGTAACCTAATTCTTATTTTTTGTGTGGATGTTTAATACAAAATCAATTATGTAAATAACGCAAGTTGGATGTGAAGGAACTAACTATAGTAACTTGTACTTTAGATGATCTTCTATCTTGTTAGATCCTTAAGACCATAGCCCCAATCAAATTTAAAGTCTTAAATACCTAATAACTTACGAGAGTCTATAAAAGCCAAAAAAAAGAAAAAAACTTAAAAGTCATCCATCATTAAAGAGGAAACTAAAAAGAACAAGTCATCAACCAGCATCATACCTTACATTCATGAACTCTTTCTCTTCTTCTTTTTGTTTACTTGTTTTCTCCTCCCATTGTTGATCTTGAACATGAAATACAAGGGGAGGTGATGAAGGATAAGATGGTTGCCTTTGATGAGGATGAACTTCTTATATGCGTTGATTTTATTCTTATAAGATCAAAATATTCAAGTATGTGTGAGATCATCACTGCCAAAATATAGTTCTAACCCTCCATTTACTCAATTAGCTATTTACAACTCATATACATGCAACTAGGCTTATTTGGGTTGGTGGAATCTCTTAAGTTAATCTCCTTTTGGAACTTGATTAGGTTTGATGAATGCCAATTGATGAAGGGCAGGGATGAAAACAAGTCAAGTTGAGTAGAGCATTATCGAGCTCGGCTCATCAATCAGAAAACCGGCTCAAACTCGAGCTCGAGCTCAAATCGAGCCCAGAAAATGAGCTCGAACTCGACTCATCCTTTAAGTCCTCAGCTTGAGAGCTCGACTGAAGCTCATGGGAGTCCACTCGACATCACAACGGGCGAATTGGCAAAATCATTGCGAGAGCACCGAAGAAGCTCGGCTCGTCGGTCATCAGCTTGTTGGAGAAGAAGCACCAAAGAAGAAAAAATGTTTTTTTCTTAAGTGATAGTAGCATGGAAGACGAGCAACAATAGCGTAGAAGCATCGAAGACAACAACATTAGTGCGGACAAGCTTTTATTTTTTAATTTTTTTGGGAGAAGTGCAAACAACATATTCATTAATAATATGAAATGCACTGCAGTAAACTTTTTTTTTTTTTTGAAAACTACAACTTCTCAAAATTTTTAAATCAATATAATCTAATAATAGAAGTGAATTTACTTCTAAATTATATAAATTAATAAATAAGATTATTTTTCATCCCTAAATATTTACTTAATCGAGCAAGCTTGCGAGCCAACGAGCTGAGTCTTATCATACTTGAACTCAAACTCGTTTAATATATGAGTTGAAGCTTGTGGCTCGGTAAGCTCAACTCACGAGCTCGTTAACAAGTCAAGTTCAATTCAGCTCACAAGCCGGCTTGGTTCACTTTCACCCCTAATGAAGACTCATTTATTTTAATGTATTCCTCTTGGTTTGAATCTACAGTTATAGTTATTGAACTGAGAAATTCATGTTCATGCTTGCAACATTTAGAAGTTGAGCTCAAAACTTAGTTGGTAAGTTTTGCATGTATGATGATGATTTGCATGTATGAAGATGATGTGCATACAATTACCACACTGAGAGTTTTTTGTTAGCAAAATTGCATTTTATTATTGTATAATGCGTATACATAAGAGTTATTAAAAAATCCATTTTATACTCTTTTTCTGATATCACAAAAAAATTAACATACTTAACAATAAAAATTATTATGAAAAACTTGATAAATACTTATGTTATTGTTCCGATTTGTTTCAAATAGCGAGAAAGAATAATATCACTAAAGTCATCATTTCACGGATAACTCTCTGAAGCTGAAGCATATAGGCTTTCTTTTCAGAAGCCTTTTTAATTTCAATAAATAAAGCATTTTATCTGAGTGAGATGAATCAAAGGGTGATTTTTTCTTACACTTGTGCAGTCAAGAGCGGAGGGAGCGTTGGAGTATTTGCACTTATCAGACTATTTAGAACCCAAGTGATCAATATATTGATTTAGCGAAAGTTGCAGCTTAGGTAACAATAACAACAACAATATAATATGATACTACTTACGCATTACTTTTTCTTCAAAAGCAAGGTTCGGTAACTACGATGGGAAGGGAATGAGCTATTAGTGGCTTAACTTTTCCTTTTTATTATTTCTTTCCAAATCAAGGCGCATAATCCACATGTGAATGTATAATAGAAATCAATAATGGTTTCATGATTGTTTAAAGTTCTATATATATGTGATAGATCAATCAAATTTGATTGGGAGGGAATTAGAAAATTTCCTAATCAAGAGGGGATTGTTTAGGAAGGTTCTTAATTAAAAGGAATTAATTAGGAGATGTTTAATAATTGAAGAGAGCATATGTGGGGGTTGATTTAGAGGGGAATAATTAGGAAATGTTTCCTATATGAAGAGGGTATATTTAAGGGTTGATTTGGGAGGAAAATAATTAAGGAAATAAGAGGGAATTCGGGGAGGGTTGTTTGGGTATTTGTTGTTTAATTGTTTGCTCTAAATAGGAAGAGAAGATTAGGGTTAGGGGTATGCATGATTATTGTGGCTGATTTGGTCTTTGGTTCTTAGTGTCTTGGGCCCTAGCTTCTTCTAGGAATTGGGAGAGATCGATCCTCCTCTCGAATTGAGGATCAATTGTATCTTATTTTCATTTCTTCCGTTAGTTTGATTTCTTTAATAAAAACTATTATTTTGTTTGTTTTCCATCGGATTTGTGGATCGTTCTTGCTGTTTTTATCTCTCTTGTGAGGGTTTACTTGAAATCTTTAAGTATTTCCTAACAAATTGGTATCAAAGCATATTTTTGGAATGTTTGGGAGATTTTCCTGAGAAAATCAGCGGCTAATTTTAAACGGAAGGGAGTTGTTTTGGTGTTTTTCGAACCGAGATTCAAAATTTTGAGTCCAACAAAAATCAGGGTATCGATGGCGGCCAAGAAAATAGATGCGTTGGAGGAACGCCTAAAAGGGGAGATGAGCCAAATGAAAGCAACGGTGAAAGATAGAATTTCATCAGTGGAAAAAAAAGTTTTTGATCTTCATGAGATGGTGAAGAAGATATTAGAAAATAAAATTCAACGGCGGCATTAGAGACAAAGGGGCCGGTAGGAAGAACTACTAATTCTGATTTTTGTATGAGGGTAAACGATGTGGAGATCATGGAGGAGAACGGTGGAAGGTATGAAGAGAGGCGTGGTTATAGGGGGCATGAACCGAGGGGTGTTGATTGGGAGAGAAAAGAGAGGGTTTATGGTAGAAGGGGTGCTGATTTTGAAGGAATGAGGGGATAAAGCGAAGAGAGGTTTGAGTATGAGCGTGGAAGGGAAGATCAGGAGACTTGGGGAGGGCCAAACAATTGGGAAAGGAGAAATTATGGAGGAATCCAAGGAAATGAGAGAGATTTGAAGGTACGGAAGCTGAAGATGCCGATTTTTAGGGCATCTCCAACCGAACGGCAAACACTTGTTTGCCGTTCTTGCTTTGCTCCAACCGATCCCCATTTTTGAGGCCATTTGATCGCGGATGAACAGTGCGACGTCAATATTGGCGTTGCACTGTTCATTTGCGCCATTTTTTTCTCTCTACCGAACAGGTTGGGAAGAAAGACGCGACAGAAAACGACTGTTTTAGCGGCAAAATGGCGTTGGATTGGAGATGAAACACGGCATTTTTTGATTTTGGAGTGAAAAATGACATTTTCGGTTGGAGATGGTCTTAAAGGGGATGATGCACATGGTTGATTTACAAGGTGGAGATATATTTCACCGTCAATGGGTTGATAGAGGAGGAAAAATCGACTGCAACGAGCTTATGTTTGGAAAGGAAGGTATTGTTTTGGTACCCGTGGAGAGACATGCTTCCTCCAATACGGAGTTGGAGGAAGTTCAAAGAATGCTTATTGGAACATTTCTGAACAGGCAGGGAGGGGATTTCTATAAGC